TATTTATTATTCACAATGAATGACATGAAGCATCTGAATGTTTTAAGACAAACTCATAGAAAATAAATGTGTACCAATAAAATGTTAACAATGATGGAGATAAAAGTTATAAATCATACATGTATCATTTGTGTTGCAGTTCCTCACTGTGACCACTGGAGGGCAGTGACCACTCATCACAATCTGTGCTACACACTTCTACATGTTACATTACACCATACAGTCTGCATCAAAAGAGGTTATTATGCTGAAAGCTACAAAATAATAACTCCAGTCTCATCATTTCATCTGATTAGCCCAAAGTGCTGATGTTAACAAAGAACTACAAAAACAGCATCACATCATTTCTGTAATTCTTCTACATTATATATTGTCTAAATTAGGGGTCTCAAACTTTTTTTTTTACATTACAGGCCACATTCGGTCCACTTTGACCTTAAGTTGGCCGGACCAGTGAAACGTTCTGTCAGTGTGAAGAAGTCACAGACTGAACTCTTTTTCTACAAGATGAGGAAAAAAGAAATCTGTCAGCACGACTCTCTGGACTGAAACTGTAAGAAATGAAATGACAGAAAATGTTCTGCTAGCTCACTGCCCAGACTATCCAGTTTTTCTTACTTTTCTTTTTTGGAGTCTGTAAAAAAATAAATAAATTCTATAGCAGAAAGAAAAGAACAAACTTTGTCATTTCATTGTTTTTAGCTGAATTACTGTGTGTAGTATGAAGGGCCATAAGGGACGTTTATATCAGTAGGAAAAGCTGTAAAACTCAAGTCCAAAATATCTGTGTGTGCTTGTTTGTGGTGAGCAGCAGATCAGAGAATTATAATAATTATAATTGATAATTATTATAAATGGCTTCACGCTCACATCCAGACCTTTGAGACTCATTCAGACACTGACCGTGGCTCTGCTGCATGCAGGCATTTCTGCATCTCTGCCTTTATAAACACACTTTTATTCAGTTTATTTTATTTTAATATTCATCACTTATATTTACTTAATTGTTTACTAAATGTTTGATGTGTGAAATAAACTGCAATGGAGCAAAATATGGGTGTTTGTGGGTGGAGGATGTGTTTGTGCGGGTGCGCGCGGGGGGCTTTTTCTTGTAAAACAAAGGGGGGCCTGCAAAAAAAGTTTGGTAACCATTGCTCTAGAGGAACATAGTATGAAGGACCAACTTCTTTACTCAAGTAAAAGTAAAAAAGTACAGGCTCTGAAATGTACTCAGAGTAAGAAGGATAAAAGCAGCTCTTCAGGGGAAAAGTTAGAAAGATAAGCCTTCTCCCACACACCATCCCTGTGAAGCCTAAACATCCCTCCACACAGCCTCTGCCCAGGCAGGTGGACCGTAATTATTGTACTTTCTAAGTCACTTTTATTTTTGTTGCACTTTTTGTTGTTAATTCAGTTTAGTTTGAGTGAGTTTCCACTGTGAGTTTTCTTGGTTCTTTAGTTCTCGTCCTTTAAATTATTAAAGCATGGAGGGCATATATCAGAGGCAATATTTAGGAAAATCGCACAAGTATAAACACATCCATGAAAGCTTCACTCAGCAAGTTTGAATAAATTTCTACCAAACAATAAAAACTAAAATAAAGTATTTTAGTTTTTAAAAAACATTATTTTTAATTTTAGTTAACTGAATAATTTTGACATTTAGTCTTAGTTTACAGTTTAAATTTATAATAACCTATAAACTATAATAACTTTGAAAAGGACACGATCACGGTACCGTAAAAACATCACGCTCTGTGGGGGTTAGGTCACGCTCTGATTGGTTGGAGGTCCACAGGAAGTTCCGCTTCTGACGACCGTCCTTAGAAACCGAAACT